TCGCATTTTTTCTCTCTCTCTCTATAATCTCCATATATTATGAAAACTTAAACTTAAAATGGTATAACATAAATTTCTTTACAATATTAATCCCATACGGCATTGACAGAGCTTATAAATTCAACATTAAGCGTATACTCCATTTATTTCTGCTAACAGTCCTACTGACAGAACCGAAAGAAAAAATAATAATTTTGCTTCTCAGGTATTCTGTGGTTCCACGTTCCTAAAATTAAGTAACAGTACGCCGGCTGATTTTTTTTCATAAATAGTTGGCATCATACTGAGCTGGAAAAAAATCGTCAGCTTCATCATGGAAAGTTCGTTTTAAAGTTCATGCCCCCCGATTATGCGTCAGCTGCTCGCATGAACTTTAAAACGTACCTAAAATAAAGTTATATTACGCCGGATGCAATTTAACTACATGATGAACTAAATAATTTAAAGTATAAAAACAACAATCAGCTGCTTGTGTAGCAGTGGAAAGACCGTCAGCTGACCTAGTCATGATTTAAAATTTTGGAGCATTGCTATTAGGCTGTTAGGAATTTCTATTAGGAAGTTCTGGAGTGGAGACCGCGTCTAGGCAAACGTAGTGTAGGACGTCCTCAGGCACGCTGAAGTGACGATTTGCGCAAGATGGCTGGCAGGAGCTGGATGGGAATAGCCCAAGATCGATCTGAATGGCGTGCAATTAGAGAGGCCTATGTCCAGCAGTGAACTAGGATAGGCTGTTGATGATGATGATGATGATGACAAGACTGTTTCCTTTTAAACACTTATTTCGAGATAGATTCTGGTCTTTCTTGAACCAATAAGAGCCCTTTTACATTTTTTGCAAGAAATCGTAAGTTTTTAGCTTTTACCCTCTTGGAAGTAAAAAATAGATTTACCTTTCTTATTGTAAATTAATGTAGAATATTTGCAAATGTCATTATAATTTTTTGTAGTGATCGTTATACCGCACCTTGTTTACTTACGGAAAAAGCGATAAAATTCACAACTTCAAACGCCTAGACCTATAATTAGATGGAATGAACAAGCTTATATTAATTGCTACGTTATCAGAAATATGGTTTTGTTTTGACATAATATATCATAATAGTTAGATAGATAATTCTTTATTGTACACACCACATTATAAAATACAAAATTAGGACAATAATTTAAAAAGGTGAACAATTGGCGGTCTTATGGCTATGTAGCCATTTCTTCCAGACAACCATAGGATGGAGAGACGAAATTCAATTAAAGGGGGGGTGTGCAACTACAAAATTAAAATAGAAAAAAAAAAGGAAAACAAAATATAACCATGATAAAAATTACTGTACATATTATAAAATAGAAACTGATAAAAAAAAAACAAATAAACAAAAACATACATCGATACATAAAATAAAATATACATTGTTAATAAATTTTGTAATAATAATATGATGCAAGCAAGAACAGGGAGGATGCATGGGAACAACACAAACAATTATTGTAAAAGGAAAAAAAAACCTTTACCTCACTTTTAAACTTTCCTATAGTCTATGCACGTCTAATCTCAGGAAGCGAGGAAGACAGTTCCAGAGGCGCACAGCTTCAACACAAAAAGAGTATTTATAAAAGGAGGTATTGTGTACAGGAGTTTTAAGGCTCAGATTCTCTGATGAGCGTAACTTCTGGGTATGGGAACTGTGGAGAAAACTGAAAAGTTCTTTGAGATAATTGGGGTAATAGGGATTAAACAAAACATTGTAAAGAAGGGAAAGTATGTGAGTATCCCGGCGACGACGAATTGGAAGCCACTTGAGTTGAGAGCGATACTGGGAAACGTGATCATATTTTCTTAAACCAAAAATGAACCTGATGCAGAAATTTTGAAGGCGCTCAAGGTTATTTAGCTGGTCCTCCGTAAGGTCAGGATAGCAGGCGTCAGCATAGTCAAGGACACGACGTAACAGAGATTGAGATAGCATAATTTTAGTGGCATAATATTGATTTATCGTCTCATTATTAAAAAAAAACATCTGAACTCCGTGAGTTTGACCTAATAATGTCGCAGGTTTACCTCGTGTTTTGATATTGAATAAAACAAAAACTTATATAAACCAAATCTACAATCACAAAGGAACTGAAGTTTAATTTTTTTTTATAATAACTTCAATATTTTTTATTTTATAAGACCTAAAACATCACCCGAAAAATGCAATATATACTAATGCTCAACTACTCGCCGATCAGTACGGAGCCAGCCTGTGTCATTTATTAACCGCACGCATCCCGAGCAATTTCATGCGAACAAATTCATGCGAGTGGCTGACGGGTTGTCCCCGCTCCACAATGCAGCTGGCGATTTTTTTTTCAGCTCAGTATGATGTCAACTCACTATTTATGAAAAAAGATTCAGCCTATTACTATATTTTTTATACTACTTCCGCAACCTCCCAATTCCACACCCAGCGTGGGTGCGCCAGCTGACGCTTGGTTTAGTTATAAGACATTGAAGATCTATATGGCAAGCAATCGGCGTAAAATCACTGCCGAAAATGCAACGCTACCTCCCGGACTATCTGAATAATTACCAGTGTGCACTGTGAAGAATTGCCAGCATAATGACTTCTTTTAACGTATGTAATTTCATATAAAATATATTAAAGGATTACCGAATTCATCCATAATTGAAGTAAATGGAAATATTTTCAAATACATTAAAAACTGGAAGATTTTTTTTATACTTTTATTAGGAACTAGCAAACCCAGCGAACTCCGTTTCGCCACCAGATAGCTTCGTTTTATGTAACATTTCGTTTTGTGATTAAAAGAAAACGATTTTTTTTTCAATTTTTCCTGAATTTTCTTTGCTATAAACCTCACGGAGCCCGAGACCTTTCCAACGAATGCAAAACCGTGGAAATCGGTTCGTGCGTTCTGGAGTTATAGCGTCAGGAAGGAAAACCCGACTTATTTTTATATAGTAGATTACAAAAAATGTGGCTGTATGATGAGCAAGCCCTTGGCGCGGAAGAGATTTAAGAAGCGAAAGACCATGGATGCGACCAAGATCTTTATGAATGTGGTGAAAGTCGGGCTATAAGAAGGTAGAGGCTGTAATTATCAAACCGCACGTATGTCATACGACGTTTTATAACACATTTGCGAGGAAATAATACTACCTACGTACGTACTTTCTGAAAATGAATTTGCACCTTTGTTTGTTTTCCATATGATGAAATTTTGATACGCTTGACTGTAAGTATCTATCCGTGGATTTTTCGGGCAAGAGGCTTAGCGTAGCCTTTTTCGACTTCTGGCGGTGTCAAACTAATAAATTTGGTTTAAGGGAGCTCGATGGCGCAAATGGTTAGCGCGTTCGGCTGCGATCGTTGAACTTAAGCAACTTTCGCAGTGGTCGGTCATTGGATGGGTGACAAAAAATTACTATCTCGAGCTCCTCCGTGCTTCGGAAGGCACGTTAAGCCGTTGGTCCCGGCTGCATCTGTCGTTAGCACCCACCAATCCGCACTGGGCCCGCGTGGTGAGTCATGGCCCAATCTCCCTATTCCATCCATAGGGAAGGCTTGTGCCCCAGCAGTGGGGACATTAATAGGCTGATGATGATAATGATGATGATGATGACTATTTGACATTATTTTCAAATAAAAACAGTACAGCGAAAAGAAAAAGAAATAACTTTTTCACAGAATAGCGATGCGCGCGCATCAACGCTTTTTTTAGGCAAAGGAACAAAAAACAGCCAGTGTTGCTAATAAAGTAAATTAATATTTTTGTGAATTTGTTACCGATACATGGTTGTAATTTATTGCCAAAATTAATGAAATTAAAGAATTAAATGTTTATATATTATATTTTATCTCCCAAAGTTAATTTTATTAAAAAAATGTTGGCTACCTTTCTGACATAAAAACTCTGCAAAGATTTAAAAAAGTATCGTTCGTTTTTAGACGGAACAAAATAAGCCCTGCGTTTTACTTTACATTACCGCACGCGTGTGTAATGTTATAGATTATGATATTGAAATTGGTGCAATAAGAGACGCTTTACGAGCAAATATGTTATATTTTTTTTTTAATTATAGTACACTTTCATTTTTAATTTAATCTATTAACACGTGAATAAATAAAGGTACAGTTTATTAGGCTGCATGTGAAAAAGAATGCGTGCGCGCATTCGTAGTTTAAACTTAATTTCCCGCGCTTCCCATTCATTCAATTTTCTGCTGATCGTGTTTTGTTTTCCGGATTTCAGAAAAGTTTTGCAATATACTTTTTTTTCTTGCTAATTTCAACTGTTACTATAATATGAAGATTAAGTAGTGAATGCAACTGCATATAATTTGGGTATTAAAACACGAGTCTGTTTATCGCTTGAGACGAAAGCGAATTCCTTCTTATATGACAGTCGCATAAACTACGATTATATGGTTGATTTTAATTTTGATTATTTTTATCAAATGGTTCAATACGGTATTTAATGACCGTAGGGAGCCGTAGGCCGTAGGGGGTCCCATATTATTTTTCAAATGTTAAACGGATTAATTTATCATATGGATTAGCTAGCAAAAACAAATATTAATTTTTATCATTCTAAGATAGGCGATAAGCAATAAAACGTGTATCACTGTTTTCAAATCAAAGATTTGTCTAATACTCTTGTCCGGATAAAGGAATCCCACAAGAAAATCAGAAAGAAAGACTCTATAATTAACCAGTTGTGACAGTATAAAACATATTCGTTTTTTACAACTTGGATTCAAAATATAAAAAAAACTACAGTAATGTTTTACTAAATAACTAATTCTCTCTAAATAAAAACAACAAGAAATTTATAATATCTGAATCAAAGATTTTTATAGTTTTCACTATATCACATATTAAAATATTTAGATAAAACAAATTATTGTAGTGATATATTGTTAACACCGTACGAAAAATTTGTTTTCTCACCAACGCCGTTTATTTATGGATATTAAAAAACAAAACACTTCACCTCACCTCAAAGAGACATGGAGTTACGAAATGTCAACGTCCATTTATATCGAGTCCGTTAAACCGTAACATCACTTGCAACACTATATGCCTGCGCACGCGGCGGCTGCTCCACTATCTATGAGTACGAGCCATGGCAACGCACGGTGAGATCATTGACATGGCGAATATCGAAACCCATTATACGTAGTTAATTGTAATTAATTACGTTTAGATGGTTTTCGATGCCAATGTTACGGTGAGAGCGAATGGGGCAACAAACTTTGAACTCTCGCCGCTATGGGTGTATTCAGTTGGGTTTTAATCTAATTAGCTGTTTTGTTTATGATAAGTTTATCTACTTTGCAAAAGTCTCATTTGACATTATACTAAGACAGTTTGGGGAAAAAGTCTTTTCGCATTATAGTATGTGATTGTCTTGTATTTCCGTCCGTTGATGTCCAAATTAGGTCCCTCCAGAATATCAACGTTGCAGCGGCAATCCATTTTTGCCATTGCAACATTATGCTGAAGTGGGGCCTAGTTGACGACGTACCTTTTGTTTTATGTTTGTCGTGTATTTATAGTAATTGTTAATGTATGTCGTCAATAAATGTTTTTCTTTCTTTCTTTACATCACCACAATTGTTTCGTTCATCTTTAGCATGTCGCGTTAAGCCGGGTACTCATTAGCGATCTGTAACCGTAACCGTTGCATGCAATATAACCAAAAAGCATTTTGTGTACGTGGTTCGCTAACCTGCTGCGAGCAATACGCATGCGGTTTGCAGCGAGCCGACGACGTTTACAACTGAGCTACAAGCGTACACACTAGAACTTCGTACTGTATCACGCATGTTACGGTTACAGCTCGCTAATGAGTACCCGGCTTTACATTTTTAATTATTATTAAACAATTCAGACCTTATCAAAAAGCATCGGTGGTTAAATGATTAAGTGGTAGAAATCTCGCCTACTACGCGGGCAGTCCGGCTTCGATTCCTCGCCGAGGCAGGACTTTTTTGTTAACAATATTATAAAAGGTTCACTTGCATCGTAGTTTTTATTCTTGTTTCCTAAACTAAAATCCTCAGACGAAAGATCAGATAAGTGTTTACAACTCTGCCACATACGTTAAGACAATTTACATACACTAAACATGCTAATCTAGAATAAAACCATAGAGTATCTTATAATAACACAGACTTCTTAATTTGAAAGACAAGAATCTTTTATTTATTTTAAATTTCGCTATACTGTACTTCCCGATCTGTATTTAATTATAGAAATAATGTAATCAAACACACCGGTTGCTTGTTCAAAACCGGGGAAGTGATATTGCGGGCCATTGACCGCTGAAACTAAATATTTAGACGGCTCAAGGTACAACCACAAAATAGATAGTAGAGACGGTAATCTCTAGTATGTACTTCATTATCGTGGTAGTGGCACTCACATATCTAGTCCCTTGATTTATTTGTAAAGAATAAAATAGGAATAAAATAAGGACAATTTACCGTTTCATTTTGAATTCATACAACCTTCCACTTAACATTAAGATTTTTTTGCATTAAAATGTTCACAGACGAGTGTCTCAAGCGAATGGAACTGGAGCCCCCAAAGGTCCCAAGCGGTCCGAGATATCGCGTCCCTGAACGGTATTTATGTGTGCGTTACTCGAGCGTACTTTGTATGTACATTACCTTCTGTTCTTTCTATTTTGTGGTACTAGCGATAATTCGTTTCTGTTCCTTCATTATCATTGAATAAAGGTAAATAAGCGGGCTACTATTCCGCTCCATCGGTTCTTGTGAGATGTGAATGGAATTATTAGTTTAGGCGGAAACGAGACCGCTGCAACCCTGATAGCATTTTGACCTTTGCGTTACCGATTCGACGAAATTAAACTCTCGCATAGTACATTGGCAAAGCTGTGTTTTTATTAACTAACTGTAGCAGTTGTACTTATTCAAAATAGAAAAAAAACAAATATTCATTAAACATGTCTATGTAGAAAATCTAGCAAATTTATCAACATCATATTTTTTTAGAATGTTTATATTGATCGCAGATGACCCCTTAAGGGCGGTGAGATCCTTCAGGTTCCTGAAGCCAGAAAATTCTTTTTAATCCATTTTAATTAAAAAATCCATAAACCTACACCACCACATAAACTAGAACATCCAGCAAACCGACAATCTATTACGTTCTTCAAGGCATGTACGCAAACCGAAATCGACGACGTTTGCTCTCCTGAGGCAACTAAAATATATACCGACGGAAGCAAACTAGAAAATGGCAAAGTCGGCGCTGCTTACGTCATATACAAACCTCACTCACAACCCTTAATTAAAAAATTAAAATTGCACGACAGTTGTTCTGTTTTCCAGGCGGAATTACTCGCCATTGAACAGGCGATGCACTGGATAGTCGACCATAAAATTATGTCCGCCGTTATACTCTCCGACAGCCACGCAGCTCTCCAAGTCCTGGAAGACAGAAATACTACCAATAAATTCGCTACTAACATACATTCTCTCATTCACCTACACACTGGCTGCGTGAAATTTGCATGGGTAAAGTCTTGAATTCTTGATGGCAACGAGGCAGCGGACATCGCGGCCAAAAGTGCCGCAAACATCCATAAACGCCCTGACTTTGCCCAGTTCCCTATAAGCTATGTCAAATTGAACACACGAAATGTAAACAGAACCACTCACAATGACCGATATAAAATCTCAACTACTGGCACACACACAATTAATCTGCTTCCCGATCTTGATTCAATAACGGAGCTCTTCAGTCATATCGAGCCTTCCTTCCACCTCACACAAATACTTACCGATCACGGCTATCACCGTCAGTACCTACATCGGGGGGCCAATCGCCTAACTGGACTGCTTTGGAAAACGCTATCGCTTACGATTTCATTTTGTTATTTCTATCCGCCGAAATACCTCACGCTCATTTTCTTTAACATTGTTATTACCAATGCAAAAGAAAAAAAAGAGCGCGAGGCATTTGAAAACCTCAGGGGGCTAGAAATAACAAAATGAAATCGTAAGCGATAGCGTTTTCCAAAGCAATCCAGTTAGGCGATTGGCCCCCGGTTCAAGATAGCCGCAACTGACAAATGCAACTGTGACTCGAACAAAATCCAAACGCTTAACCACTTAATACGGGTATACCCCCGCTACACACGTACGCGGGCGGAACATACCCGCCTCTGCTCATACCATCAAATCGATCCTTATACTATAACCGAGCTCATGCAAAAGATATCATGCTTAAATTCATTTATCGATCTATGTAAAACCATCGTAAATACACTGAAAGAATATAATAACAGCTAATAACTTACACTATAAACTCCATTCCTAAAACTACACTCTATCTAAATTTACATATCTCTAACCCAAAACTATCAAATGACCTATTACAAAAAAAAAATAACAATACAATACTAACTTACCCCAATGTAAATTACATAGTAAAATGTAACTTATAAAAGTCTCCTATGTTTTTCGTATCAAATAGCGAAAAACAAACATCCATATGCTAAAATGCTAAACCATCTAAATAATCTGATTCAAATAAAATGTTCTTTGGTAACTCTCCGGAGAATAACCACCGGAACCCCAAAAAAAAATTGTGGTGCATGACCATAATTCGCTTCAGTAAAAATTGGACATTCAAAAAAGCTGCATGTGCACTCAATATAACAATATTTCGCAAATACTGTGTTATAAAGATAAAACAATGCCATCGATGCTTTTATAAAGAACACAAATAGGTCAAAATCAAATAACAAATGCCTCAGCAACACTTTTCTTTCGTATAACTGTAAAAACAATTTTCTCAAAAATCACGGTTTGTCGTTAATGTTATTTACATAATCGCCATTTTGTTATCAAAAAAAGGACAATAACACAGTACCCCTAGCACGAACCAATATCGAATTTGTATCGTTTGCGAGTCCGCAATGTCACTGTCAAATGTGTACTGATTTACTGTGTCGCTGCTGTTCAAGTTTCCATACAAAATTTGACATCCACATTTCGGTTTGCAAACTATTCGAATTCGATAATGGTTCGTGCTAGGGGTACAGCTCAGCCGTACCGACTCGGAAGCGGATTCGCCGTTTCGCTCGCGCTGCGTTGAAGCGTACAGTTCTGTCTCCCGCTCTCGGTTGAAAGTTGATATACATACAGACGTGTGCGTGTGACAGTTGAGTCGGATCATATTTTATTTGATGCTAGTATGAGCGTACCGTATCGTTGACATATCGAGCGACGTCCAGTTTCGGGATCATTTAGAGGGCAAGGCCAAATTGGCCTCTAAGAAGCTTGGTGTGCTCAATAGATCGAGAATGTACTTCACACCGGCCCACCGACTGCAGCTTTATAAGGCACAGGTTCGGCCTCACATGGAGCACTGCTCTCATCTTTGGGCGGGGGCACCCCAGTACCAGCTTCTCCCTTTGGATCGCATCCAGCGCCGAGCGGCTCGAATCCACAACCGTGCGTTTTTGTCGAAATTTTTAAGCACGTACGACAAAACTGTGGAATAATATTGTCGCCAGCAGTGTTTCCGGACCGATACGACCCAAAAACCTTCAAAAAAAGAGCGTACTCCTTCCCTAAAGGCCGGCATCGCATTTGTGATACTCCTGGTGTTGCAAGTGTCCATGGGCGACGGTGATCACTTACCATCAGGTGAGCCGTCTGCTCGTATGCCCCCTATAACATAAAAAAAAAACTTCCCTTTTCGTTTAAATCTAAGCTTAAAAGTGTTAAACCCCTCAGGGATTTTCAAACGACTGAAGTTGTCGAGGACGAAGTCACGGGCGGCCGTTAGTAAAATAATTGTGTCTCACATTTGTGACCTTAGCGCAGTTATGTGTAAAAGTATATAGCTACGACTAGCATGAACACGTAAATCTTACCTAAAAATAGACGTAACAAACCCTGTTATCACTTATATTCGGCTCTTAACATTGACGCGATATCTTAAGAGGGGTGTGTCTCAGCAGTTCTTGTAGACGTTTACCTCCTTACATCCTTTATCAGTACAAGACAGTCCTTCAACAAACCTTATTAATATAACCGCATCCATCATGTAACACACCAGTCTTCTTACAGCCTACCATAAAAAAAACATCTCAACCTTCAGATACCAACGAATGGTGTATTTTTGAAGTTATACTTCTTTAGGCGCGTTATGAAAAAATGATGAGAGTGAAATTTTAAGATGCGCGCGCATCACTGTAACACAAAATTTTAACAGCATGAAGTTGGTCGCTAAAGCGAATTTTAATTTATTGTAATTAATTATTTGCATGCAATTAAAAACTAATTTTAAACGATGCCAAAGAAGGATAACTTCTCACGCGCCTACATAAGTA